CATTGTGACAGTTTTTGTATCATTTGGTACATTAAGTTGAATTATATAATTATTTGAAATATGTACTCTACTCTTTTTACACCTAGAGCATTTTAATATCGTCTGAAGTTGATGAAGCAAAGAATTGTGTAAGGGTTCATATAAAGATATGAGTGCACTAATAAATTCAGCAGCATCTTGCTGTTCTATGTTAACGTAAGGATGACCAATCTGATTTCTTATACTAAATGCACTTAGTTGACATACTTGTGATGTGTATGAGTATGCAAGTTTTTTTAGTACAGTGTCTTCTAAAGAATTAATTAAGATATTTAGTATGCGAGTACAATTGAAAATTACTTGCAAAGATGCATTTGCATAACAAGAAACCGCATCCAAATTTGAAAACCCTGGGATACTTAAGTCGCTAATAGGCTGGTGTTGGAATGTTTGAATGTCATGAACCTGAACATTTGATGCTTCTTTCCATATTATATCTTTTACATGTATATTTTTGTTATGTTTGAGTGGTATCTTATTCAAGTCAGGTCTACATTTGGCCCTTAATCTGTTATATTCCTTAATAGCTGCTATCTGCGCTTTTATGTTACTTGGGTCAAAATTAATTAAATGCAATCCTTTTTGACTATTTACTCTAGATAAAGCTACATATGTTTGACCACAAGAAAATATTGAGTTACCAACATCTACAATACAATTTTCCAACGACATACCTTGACTTTTGTGTATAGTAATTCCATAAGCGACAGTTATGGGAAATTGTTTTCTGAATACGAATGCTCCATGAAAAAGCTCAAACTTGCCTGTAACACGTTCAAGATTATGCATTTTTTCGTTAAAGATCACTTGAATTTGTTGAGGCTTGCCATCAATTCCATTTATTATATTTTTAACTGTTCCTATAGCACCGTTAACCAAACCATTTGATACATCAATATTTCTTTGTAACATAATTTTACTGTTTAACTTCACATTTAAATATTTTTGAAGACCAGCTGTCCGCGAACTATCATCATCAAGTTTCGACAGTTTTTTTATAGCTTTTGTTTTAGTTGATTGTTTACAATCAACAGAATCAATTGATTCCAAACTAATGTTATCTGAAGGTAATAAAGATAATATTCCATTATTTAAAAATGAGCAATGTTCTCTTGTAGGAAGTAGAACTAATGTAGAATCTGGTAGCTTCATTATAGTTTCGTACAATTGTCTTATTATGTCTGAAGGTTTTTCTTTGATTTTAAAACTAATTTTTTGTTTATTTATAGCTTGAATGTCARATCCTGTTACTGTGTTAATTCTAATTCTTTCCAGTATATTTGCATATTCAGGATCACTCTTTTGTCTCATGTTTTCGGTTAATTCATCGTAAGTAAACAATTTTTCCCACAAATTTATAGTACCTAATGCATGTAGATACTTATTACTATTTTTTGCATTTAATGGTAGAAATGGTGATTGTTCATTTACTGGTGGTAATTGAAGAAGATCTCCGAAAACTAAGATATTGATTTTCCCAAACCAACCATCATCACTGTTACCAGTATCATAAATTTCACATAGTCTTAAATGTATATAAATCAATGTCACATTAGATACCATACTTATCTCGTCAATTATAACTAAAATTACATTTTTCATTTTCTCACGAATTAATTTAAGAGAATCRTTTGATAAGGGTCTGTATGGTGGAGTGTGCCCATGTTCTACCGGTAACTGCAATAAACGGTGAATAGTCATACCTTGTATATTATATGCAGCTATTCCTGTTGGAGCTGTTATAGCTACATTTCGATTTAATTGGTTTGTTACATAAGCCTTAATAGTTTTAATCAAATATGATTTCCCTGTACCCCCTACACCGGAAACAAAGTGTCGTATTGGTTTATTTTCAATTGCTATTTCACCCTTAATAAAATCAAATACTCGTTTTTGATCAACGTTTAAATTTTCTACTAAAGTTTCTACATTTTCTTCATTATTTGCATTATTTTGTAGCTCTTCCATAGCTTCTTCTAATTCATTAATTTGTAACTCATCGTTTGTTTCGTTTGCAGTATGTGAATTTTGGTTATTTTGCAATTCTTCAATAATCTTATTAATATCATCTTTAGATGTGATAAGATATTGAAGGTGCTTATGATAATCTATTGCTGATTCTACTGTATTTTTACATAACATAAATGCCTCAAAATATGTGTTGCTTACACCAAGTAATTCGCTTTCTTCTCTCCATGGTTTAAATAACATCAATAAAGAATGAAAGTACTTTTCTGGTTCTAATTTCCAGTTATAAATAGGATGTTTAATTAAATGTGACCGTGGTCGTTTTTTGATAAACCCATAACCGGGATACTCATAACATTCAAGTTCTGTCAAATGTGGTTTTTTTTTCACAATGTCGTATTTACTAGCAAAATCAAATAGATTAGTATTTTCCATTTCAGTGGGTCTATTAGGGTAATGAATATCAATCATTGAAGGATAGTATAAATCAGTTGACTGGTTATCCAAATTTTCTATTTCTGTTTTTGATTTTAGTCTTCTGTTTCTTATTATTTTTACATCCAGCCATTTGATCGTTGTATTTTTATCAGTTCCATACAAAGGTATACCTAGCAACGTGTCACTTGCTTCTAGAACTCCACATTCTCTGTTACTGAGTGAGCGTAAGGCTACATTCCATAATTTAGTATTTAAAGATTTAGTACTGTTTATAACATCAAACGTTTGTGAAACATTAGATTTTTCAGGTTTAGTCTGATATTTTGTTATGTAAGAACTAAGGGCACATGACTTTTCACCAATGAATTGAATGTCCATATTTCCTTCCCACGCTAATAGAATAGCAGGATTATAATCATTTATATTTGCTTCTTCTTCTGATCGTGGTATATCATAAAGTCTACTTTTCGATTTTAGATTTCTTCGTCCAGCAATAGATGTAGCAACATCACGGATTGTAAACTGATTTGTAATAGACCTAGGAAATCCAAATCTACAACATTGAACTATACCTTTCGATGTATTTTTCTTGCGCATGCAATAACTGTTATGCTTGTGTGTTTGATATGAATCTACACGTTTTGAAAGTATTGGAAATAAATTTTTATCAGGTTTTGCACACGTTATTTTTTTTGCAATAAAATCAGCTACTTCGTCATTTGTTGAAACTCCCAACACTGGAGCTCCTTCTATCCAAATAAGTGTATGGAAATGTTGTAGTCCTCTGGTTTGATATTCTCGCCGCCATACGTAATGTGTGATTACGCCCAATGGTGCATCATCAGATGTAAGAAAATCTAGTATACCTTTAAATTCATTATTAATGAAACGTGATGTGGAAATGGGATCAAGTGCTATGAGTGCTGATAGTGATTTGCCGTCTGCAGTTGTACTATTTACTTGCCTTAAGAACGATTCTAGCCTATCCCAATTGTACTCGGCAGGACTTAATGTTAAAAAAAATGTCACTGGTCCATACCAAGTTATCATAGTTTCTATATCTGACCGTGGACCTAACCAGTATTGACTTGTGTTTCTCAATCTAGCGAATATAGTGGTTAAATTGCCTTCCAACTCTTCATTTTTAAGTAACTCTAAACATTCTAAAGAAGTTAATTTTTCTGAAGATTTCTTGGTATTTAGTTTGTGATAAATACCAGCCTTTAACGCTCTAATATTAGAGTCATGTAACAAGAAAAATAAGTATTGTATGTTAGTTCTAAAAATAGGATTCATTGACAACAATCGGGATTTGATAAATTCAGAAGGCATAAGTGAAACCAATCGGTCAGAATATTGACCATCATTTCCAAAAGGAAACAATACAGGAAAACACTTTAAATCTAATTGTAAATCTCGTTGGTCAATTGACTGTGCATCTACTTTTAGCATTTGATAAAGATCAGTAGCTTTAGCATTCTTACGAGGTTCATTAAGTGTATGTATAGTGTATTGTTCGTAGTACTCATCACTCGGGTCTGCTTGAGTTAGCATAGCTTGTATCTCACTAATGTCCCTTTGTTTGCCAGTATTTTCATTTTCTCGTGTCTGAGCATTTTTATGTAGGCCCTCAGCGTTAATATTAATATTGTTGTCATTATCAGTGGTATTTAATATTTCATCTTCATCAGTAGTTAAATCTGATAATAAATATTCAGTTTTCATAGTCAATATATCATTTTCAAAATTGTTATAGTGTGGAATAAATATATCTTTGTACAAAATATTATTACCCTTTAACCATAACAACGCATTATACACTTGTTGAATGTTAACTAAACTTTGCCATATTTTTTTGTTTTTCGTTGGAATGCTACGAACAAGAATATATAATTCATGTTCAATTATAGCTTGGTTAGGAATTGGTAATTTTTTTAACGTTTCCTCTAATGGCAGAGGTAAATGGAATGCTCTTCCTATCACTTTTTGATTCATAACATTTTTAGGTTGTTTACGACCGGCCACAGAACTCATTTTAACAACAACTTGAAATGTTTTGGCTCGCTGTATAAGTATTCTTTCAAAATCGTTTAAGCATAAAAGTACCTGAGGTGTAACTGGAGAATATAAATTATTAAGTATGCAAGAAGGAGGTAATGCATTTGAACGAAATATTTTAATACAATACAAACAAATAAAATCACTGGGTAAATTGTTAGTTTCAACGAATTCACTGAGTTTTTCCCAGTGTTCATTACTAATAGGATTTCTAATGTTATTAATATTTGTAACATTATTTTTATAACACAATTTATGACATGATAAACATATATTTATTGGTATATCCATAACTCTTTTATTAAATCGATTGAATGAATGAGAATAAGTTGCAATGATATCATCCTCATTGGCAAAATTAAATGAACCTAAATCAAAGCTTTTCCCTGGCTTCTTTGATAATTGTTCCATTTCAAGTAACATATTTATATTAATATTATGAATAGCCCAATCAATTTGATTGATTTTCATTTGAACCCTCCGAATTTTGTATAAACATGAAACTAATTCCTGAATACTTGGAAAATGATGAGCAAGATTTGTTAAAAATAATAAAATGGAAGAACAGTAGTTCTCAACGTAACAAGCCGAAGTATGGCCTAACTTAAAGATATTTCTAGATTCGCTGTTACAAAAATCGATGTTTTTAATTTTGTCTGGAAAGTTATTTAATTCTGAACTTAATAAGTATTTTATTATTTTCAATACTCTTGGAATAGAATATTTACAATTAATGTTACATAAAATATCATTACAGTACCATGCTACATCTGGCGTATTAATATTAATAGGCTGAAATAAATTCATAATTTTACCTTCGTCATTAACTTCTAATGTTTTATTAAACGTGGAAGGTAATATGGTATTACAATAGAAAGGTTCCGTGTATTTAGAGTGACGAGATTCACCTAAAATAAATCTTAGCAATGGGTAATCTAATTTATCATCATTTGGTAGTACCACAGAATGATTAATTTTCTTATTAATAATTGTTTTAAGATGTTTAAATGTATTTCTGTACAAAAGTACATTTTGTTTCCTATACATCAGCACCCATTTTAATACTCTATCTGCAGTACACCTACCTTTAACCAGAGGCATTTTTAATTTACCAATTAATCTATTAGTAAATTTTTCAATATTTNNATTTTATTATTGTTTTCGATTATTGTGTTCTACTTCTTTAATGATCTGTGCTTTAATAATTACTCTATAATTAATAATGGTAATATTTAATTGGATATTATTGTGGATGTATATACTATCCATGATTATATTTGTATAATACATATATGAAATTATTTATTGCAGAAATAACATTAATAATCAAAAATTAACTTTTCTTGATTTAACATAAGCAAATGTGTCAATAACATCATCCAAGTCCAATTCGTTTACTATTTTATGCTCTATAGATATTATAACTAAATCTATAATTTTCTCTTGATTTAGAGTTGTTCTTAAGCAAATGTTTAACCAACTTAAGTTTTAAAAATGATATTTCAGCTGTTGCTGTTGTAACTGATAATGTTAGCATAATCCTTAATGCTATAACAGCATTAGGATAAATATCACCAACACTGTGGCAAAATATTTTGTAAAAAACTTTTAAAGGAAAAGTACCTTTATCAATTATTTATAAAAGAAGGTAAAGTTTGTCATACCAATTCCCATTCATTAATGTCCATTTTTCACCTTAAGCGTAACATTGTTAGATMTGTAATTGTTAATAAATTTCTTTTTAGAACCCCGAACATAATATTTTTGTCCTAATTCTATTTTAGATAGATATTGTATAAGATATTGTTATTTTTTCATTTTCGGATAAATATTTTCTWTAATTGCCACRACCAGTGCCGCAACTACCGCGGGTGCAAAGTGTGCACCGCCACAACCCCTAGTAAAAATATTCGAGTGCCCCATCGGGACCCTCAATAATTGAAAAATACTTAAAATTATTACATAGAAAATTAAAAACTAATATAGATAATAAAGGGTGTCTATAATAAAATAAATATTATGTTCTGTTGCAACAAAACATGTTACCATTTAAAGCAGAATCAGTAATAATTTATTATAGTCTAACTATATGGTCCAAAATATATATTTGTTTTTCAGCCAAAGTGTACCTTGATGAGCATCATTAGCATTTGGCAATGATATAGCAAATCAAATACAAAAAAAAGTTTTGAAAAAGTGTGTAATACAAGATGGGAATCTAAACATTCATCTGTATATGCATTAAAAGAAAATTTTGTTAATTTGTTGAAATCTTTGACAAATATTTCATTAACCAGCAAAAAAAGTGATGAATTAAATAGAGCAAAATCTGTTATAAGAAGAATGCAATCTTTTGAGTTTGTTTTGCTTATAATTATTTGAGAAAATATTTTGAAACCATTATYTATGGTATCCAAGATGTTACAGTGCTCACAAACCATTATGGCAGTATCCATCAAGCCAGTGAGTTTTTGCAAATTGGTATTAATTCAATCAAAAATTTGAGACATACTTATAAAGAACTCGTAGAATCAGCAAAAAATATGTGTCTAAAATGGGAAATACAATTTCGGAACGAAAATAAACGAAAAATTTACTCTAAAAAACTATTTAGTAATGTTGATGGTGAYAGGAAATTGGATATTACAGAAGAAAAATTTTATGTTTCAGTATTTTTACCATTAGTTGATCTTGATACTGCTTTATTTCAACTCGATCATTTTAAATGACTTAAAAATAGTATCATATACTTTTAATTTTTTATTGCCACCAAATATAATAAGGTATCAATTAATTATCACTCTGTGCCGRGAAGAGCTAACTGTACTTACATACAACATAATTGCTGATTAACTGTACATAAGTACATAGCCTATAMCACTAAAATAACAAATTCTCAAAAGCTTAAGATTATTAAATCATAAATACTAAAATATATAGCAAAATTGTTAAATTTAAAATCTTTTAACCTATTTAATGCACATTTGAAATTTGAACTAACTTAGATAAGTTTTAGTTTAAACAAACATTAAACATAAAAAGATACATAAACGTCACTATTTTTAAATTTGAAATATATGAATTGAAGTAATGATCTTTTTAGTGAAATAAAAATGCAGTCTTTGTCAACAATTTGACATAAAAGTAAAGTGTTATAACTAGAGAAAATATTACTATATTGATAAAAAAAATTATATGCTTTTTATTATTAGAAAATTATTAACAAATAAATTATGAGTACATTTCATAATTTTACATGCATTTTGAAAAAAAAAAATGATACTGATCTAAATTTACATATTTTAGTTTAATCAACTAAGTTTCCTGCCTTGAAATTGGGTAGATGGGCAGGTAAAATAATAGAAAATGTTTTCTAGTCTTAATGCTATCACTTAATTTAAAACACGAATCTCATTACATTGATTATTTATGCATAATAATTAGTAACTTAATCTTGTTTGAAGGGGTGGCTAGGTAAATCAAACTATTTGAACTATCAGTTTTAATTTCATTTGGTGCCACTATGTATACCTGATTGTAGCATGAGTTGTAATGTTTTATGTTAGGAAAATTTTAAATAATAAATTCAACAATTCAAAGTTTGTTATCTTAACATGGAGGTGTAATTACAAATTGTGTGTACCTATACTATATTAAATAATCCTGTGTTCGAAATATTTTGTACCAATCACTTAAAAGAACATTCAATGGTTATTTTTTTTTGCTAAAAAGCCATGTTGAGATCAAATAGTAACTGTATCTATTATCAGAATGGCGGACAATTTCCCCTCGGACATTTTCCCCCCGACTGTTTTTGGCGTAGTAGGACATTTTCCCCCATTTTTTTTTTTTAAAGTTTATTATTGAATAATATAATATTATTTATTATTTAATAAAAAATTATTTTTTTTTTAATAAAATATTATTTTTTCATAAGTATAATAAAACAAACAATTTGTATATAAGTAGTAAAAATGTAAAATAGGTTAAAAATTTCATTTTTTTTTCATAAATATAATAAAAATTGTATACTAAAACGTAAAAAAAATTATATAAGTATAATAGTCTAAAAATGTCGACATAAAAATGATATATTTTGTAAAAAACATTTAATTTCTGATTCTTTTTTTATATTTAAGCACATATTTTTTGATCGTTTTTCATATTTATTTATTTTTGTAAAAAAAAACCGTACCTGTTTTAATTTTTAATAATTTATTAATTGCCATTGAATTTGACTTGTAGTGCTTCAATGAACATCCAAGTATTTGGATGCCGAGTTCTTACCAAAGTTTTAAATTTATTATTGAAACCTTCACTTATATTATTTGTTCTACCTATGTTTTTCTTTGTAGAATTATGTACATTCCATAAATAAGGAGAAAATTATATTATATTATTCAATAATAAACTTTTTTTTTAAAAATGGGGGGTAAATTGTCTGGATACCCTATTATCAATGTGGTTTTTATAGTGTTTCATATTGTTTCCCACAAGTATAATATAACAAATTTTAAATGTATGGTATATGTTTTATGTGAGCATTTTTTTTTTTCTAACAAACTTCAAAAGTACTCTAAATTCTAATATTTAGCATTTGTTTAGAAAATAATTTTTGCACATTTTTGGTTCAAACTTTTGAATATTATGTTATAAAAATTGATTAAGCACTAAAATAATATATTAATTTTTTTTTTTTATAGAACTGTTCCAGCCAATCTCATCGAGTGTAGATGATTCATTGAGTTCATTACACGAATCACGGTATCATAATAATAGATTTTTTCAATTTGTTTTAACAATAAAGGAGTTGTAAAAACATAATAAAAAAATCAAGAAATGCTATTCTTACCGTTATGAAAACAAAATTCTTACAATTATATATTGTTGAAAAATTATAGACTGTTTTCAAAAAATTTGCTCGCAATGGATCAAAAACATAGAAAAAAGAAAACCAATGATAAAAATAATCTAATTAGATTGAAAAATGAATATTGGGAAAAACTCTTTGGTGGAGTAGTTGATATTTTACAGTCTACCAACATCAATGATGATATTATTACAATTGAATATGTCACTACAGAACACAAGTATCGTCTAGRTAAAACTAACTTTCTTGATACTAATGGTTTATTTCCTACACCTAATCTAACAATTGAAATTTATGAAGAATTAATTTCTTTAATAGCAAACAATGTTATGACTCAAATTAAAAATGAACTTAAAGATGTCATGTATTTTTCAATAACTATTGACTCTGTGCCAGACACTGATCAATCAGCCATTTATGTTCGGTATGTAGAYGATGATGGTATACCAAAGAAGCGTTTTCTGGATATTATAAATAAAAAAGGAGACGATGCTTTACAGTTAATGAATATACTTCATGAGACATTAGATAAATATGATTTAAACCGCCAAGGTTTTATGGGGGTTTCATATAATATGGATAGTAACATTCCTGCATACAGAACAAGCTTAAAGTCTTGCCTAAAATCAATAAACRAATTAGCTGAAATTATGCCATGTTCATCGGATTCTCTAAGTTTAGTTGTGATTAAAGCAGCATCTTCTTGCTATGAAGGTGATAATTTTTTTACAGCAATTGATGAACTATTTTACTTTTTTTTATTTTTTCAACATCGGTGGGATGATGTTGAATTTTTGTTAAACAATTTGCCTTATACAAAATTTTCATCAAAAAACAAAATATATCGGCGTCTCAACAAAAATTGGTCAATGATAGTATATGCATTGTTTCATATATCTGAAAGTATGAGTTTTCCAAGAAAAATGAGTGTTAAAGCTTATTTACTTTTAAAGAAGGTAAAACGATTGGAAACCTGTTTCATAACAATGTTTTGGGAAGACATTGTTGGACAAATTACAGAACTTGAAGAGAATTTACATAAAAATGTATCTGTTCAAATTAATTTCCATGAGATTTTTTTGATTTACCAATCATTAATAAACTATTTAAATGAATTTCGAACCAATGAAAAGTTTATAAATTATAAGACTCGTGCATTAAAAAAGTCTAATATTCTACATTTTAATAATAAGAATCGTTTAGAGCAACCACAAATGAGATTTCCTGTTGATGATATAGACGAAGAMGATAAATTTAAAATTAATACTTACTTTTTCATGATAGACAAGATTCAAACTGAATTAGAATATAGAAAAGAAATTTATTGTGATTTATCATCAAAATTTAACTTTTTAGATAGCATCTCTACAATAACAGATGCTCAATTATACCATGAACTTGAAAATTTACAAAATATATTCTTGGATATATCATACCATATTTCTACCGAATGTAATGAATTGAGAAGCATTTTGAATCAAACTAAAACAGACCTCACTTCTATCAGAGAAATCAGTATTTTTATAAGTCAACGACCATTTAAAAACTTTTTTAAAGAACTTGAAAAAATAATAAAAATGTCATTGTGCATTTCAGCTACCCATTGTCATATTGAACATTCCTCCATGTCTGTATTGACTGATGTTATTACTTCATTGAAATCAATAAAGAACAAACACACCTATAATACATTAATACATATAAATATGGATCAACAACTTCTCAAATACTTTGACTTCAATTGTGTTATTAAAGAATTAGCTCACAAGAAATCAGCTGAATCATTATAATTATCAAGATTAATTCATAAATATTTATTATTAAGATTAATTCATAGATATTTATTACAAAAATTAATTAGTTAATCTTTATTATTAAGATTTATTCATAAATTATTTATTATTAAGATTAATTCATAAAACAAGTGTAGTCATAAATAATGTTTAGCTTAATATACTCTTCTCAATTATAGTCCTAGGGTTGGTTACTTCTGAATCGCTCGTAATCTAGGATAATTCTTTTCATATATAATATTATACTTGTCATAGTTAAATAAAAAAATTAACTAATTAATTAAATTGGCTTTAAACAAAATTTTTTCATTAAATTTAGCGTTGTTAGAGGTAAAACAAATTGAACAAACTTAGGATGGTAGGCAAATGTTGCCTACCTAGGGTAGGTGGCCTTGCAAAATCCTTTACTACACCACACCATTAAACTATTAATAATAAGTTTTTTTTCTGATAATAATAATAATATAATGTATATTATTTGTATCCTAAATATATTTATGGTACTTTTTAGAAACATAAATATTTTCATTTCTTATTGTAAAGAAAATGTCACAATTTTTCTGTATTTGTCAATATATTAGTATTATAATAATTTACAGATTATATATACAAAGTTCAATATACATTATGATATGTTTGTGTTTTATTTAAGTAACAAGAAATATTTTATATTTAATATACACTAAATATCTTTTACTTCCTTCCCTAAAAATAACCATTATAATATTAACCTCAAATCTTTATAGTTACTATGCTTTTGAACTTTTTAATTTTTAATTTTWTGCAACTCTTGAATAATTGTTTGCATTTTACAAAACTAAAAAATTTGGCAGTGACACAAAATTTGTAACAAATATTTTTTAAATATATATATATATATTGTAATTAATTTTAAGAATTAACAATTGTATGTTGTTTGTCAGTTGATTAACACATGTACGTGGGGCTAGAGGATCGGTCACTTCAATCCTGACCGCCACCCATCCAGAAACTAGCGGTGCCAACCGAAGCTTGGCCTCATTACATGTTATTCAACCAATGAGCCTCGCTCTTTTTTAATATTAATATCTAATAGCTAATAAGGTATAGTTCTTCACAATATAAAATTATATAAAGGTATGGTGTTACAAAAATATAAATTACATTGACTTGATCAGTGTTTGGATAATATTCTTTATTAAAGGTAAAATACAAAATTTTGTACAAATACTTATTTGTATTTGCTAATGTAGTGTAAAAAAAAAATATTATTTATTTATCCATTTCATCAACAAAATTGACTATTGTTTGATCAAATTCTGTATTGTCAATATCATCTACCATTGACGAATCATTTGCATGAGCTGTCAACATATCAGTATATTAAGGTTTAACCTTAAGGTAAGTAACACTGGTATTTGTTGTCTCTGTTTTACAAGTGTGTAACATAGAAAACTTACATGCAGCAGATCACATAAAGCTTCTTTAATTTAAAAAATAAAGTGAATACAACTTCTTGATGGAAAGAACATTATCTGTATTTGTCTGTAAGTTTTTTTTATGATAATTCAGTCTTTAAGTGAGTTATGTGCATTTTTAATTTATAGTACATTATGTACACAAAGCTTGTAATTTAAACTATTGTAATAAAAAAATCTACAAAAAACAAATTATGTTCTTACTATCAAGAGTCATGATAAATTAATATACTCCAATGTTTRAACTAACAAAGCTAAATGAAATCTGCTGATTAAAATTTGGTATGTTACTCACATGTTAGACAGAGTCCAAATTTTGATATACCGCCCTCTTTCATATATTAAAATAAATTTAAAAAACTTACAATCATTGGCGTTAGATTCAATATTAAATCCTTTCAACTTTTGACTTTCTTCAAAAAATTGATTTGGGTGGTTGATAGCTGTACAAGAAGGTGATACGCCATTATGTGCTTCAAAATATTTTGTACAAGCAATTTGATAATGTCCATTTTGAGACAGGTTTAAAATTTCTTGAATACCTTAATATAACAATTTAATTTGGTTATTCTTTTTTCTTCTCACTATGATATGTAACAACAAATACTCATACTTTGAGTCGAAATGTTAGAAGTCTCCAGTAATTGTTTTAATGCTTGACTATTAGTATGCTTATATGGACACCCATGATATTCATCCAAACCCACTGCACCCATAATTATCTTCATACAGCTGTATGGTGTATAGTTTACTTTTTTACCTTCTTTGCCATAATTATGTCTTATATTATAACTATATTGTTTATCAAACTAAAATGAGAAAATAATAATAATAATTATCAAAGACTATAAATACAAATCAAGTCATTTTTACTTTATCTGCATCCATTTTCTTGGTAAATTCTGATCTCCATAATATTAACGCCTGTTCAAGCGGTAATCCAGCTCCTTTCAAAAATAAACCATACTGTTGACGAGCTTGATGTTTCAAATGATGTTCACTTCTCAAAACTACATGCAATCGTTTCATGCATAGAGGAAAAGACTTTGAAGACTAATTTTTAACATTTAAAAATTAAAAAGTCTAATTTAATAGATAAATAAATTTTGTGTTATGGTCTTTCACCATTATAATGATATTCTATTATTACGATATACATATTAATATTTTTTATATACATATCACAGAAACGTACCTATGTTATCTCACATTTATTCTGTATTACCACATAGAGATAAATATTATTGATTACTTTACCTCCAGACCCATCATAAAAATTGTCATTAATTTAAACTCATGAAGAACCTTGTTTTAAATTTTCAAGTTGTTTTACAAAGCAAATTATGTTTTATTAATAAAATGTTCAGGGTAAAAAGAAGATAAGAGAAGCCAAATAATAAACCAATAAAAATAAGAATTTATATAGAAACAAAACAAATAGTTTCAATGGTAAAAATTATTTAAAAAACATTTATTTAGTGCTTTTTTAAATTTTACTTTTAATGTCTGTTATGAGTCAAATCATATTTTCTYAAAGCATTTTCATTGTTTTTTCTTCAAAGCATTTTTATCCGTTCCCTCCTTAATAAAAATAATTTTAAAGAAACATAAATAGTATTGATACATATTACACACATTGGCTATTTAGATCCCTTCTACTTGAATGATAAATAAATTGCATCTTATTACTTATATTTAAATATATGTTGATTGTGTGTGTGACGTGTGTACTAAAAAAATGATTTGCCCATTTAAAAATTAAAATAAATAACCCATCAACATAACATATCCCGTTTTATCTTAAGTGGGAAACATGAAATAAAACTAGTAATATAGTAACAAGAAAGAAAGCTTAACTATTTTTCAACACAATAAAAATGCATATTTTTATGATATAAGGGTTAAATTGACAAAATACTTACATGATCAATAGTATTGATAGATAATGTAGACATGTTTTCTGTAACAGAGTAATTTTTTCCCATGTAGGACTGATGTAAATATTTGATAAAAGCACCAAACCGTTCATCTTCACTAATAATACTGAATTTTTGAAAACATTTCTAAAAATATAATACAATTTTAAAATGGTTAAAATGAAATATTTARTTAAAAATGTATAGTTAGAAACATAAATAAATAAGAATTTATTATAAGTATGTTCATTGAAGAACATTTATGCAATTTATAACAAATTTATTATACAGTGATTTCAACATAGGATGCTTTTCCATAGTAAAACAATATCAAATTTCAAATAAAACTTACTACTAATTCTTGGGAAAGTTCTGACCGAAATGTTTGGCAAACACCTGAGATAACATCAGTTTGAATGACATAAGCAAATCCATCACAAAGATAAACTTTTCTATTACGAACTAAATCCAACACTTGTGTCCAGCGAACTTTAAAATACTCATTATTATTTCCAGCTGTAGTGAAAGAGCTCATACCATCAGCCATTATTTTATATTCTTCTTCACTTACCTGCAGATGATTTTTAAGTAATATATGATAAAATAAATTAATACAAGTATAAATATAATGTACGTATAATATAATACCATGTTGAATTGGGAATTAGTTTCATTCAATAAACTATTATATGTTTTGTTAAATATAAAATAGAGACCCATAATTAATTAATTTCATTTAGTGCACTCATACAAAAATGCAAAAAATTATTGGCATTTCGATAAAGCAATTATTATTCTTAGTCAATTCAATAGATATACAATATCATTTAATTTACTCTCTAATACAGGGTTCGGCAAGTTATTTCTATTGGAGTCCGAAAGATTAAAATAATAAATAAATTAGGTCCAGTGAAAAAAATTTTTGCCAAATCTTTATGTTTTTGTAATAGTAATATGAAGAAAAAATGTTAAGACATGTCAACAGTCCGGAGGCTTTCTGCGTTCCACGGTCCGGATTCGGACTGTGGTCCGCCAGTTGCCAACCATTGCTCTAATAGTACAAAGGTTTTATTTTTTAATTTACATAACTTACAGCTGAATAATTAGTGTTGTTTGAAGATAAAAATTTTAGTTTATCGCTTTTTGAAAGAAGTGACCAACGTAATTTGAACAATTCTATTTCCCTGTTAATGAACCATTTTCGTAACTCATCACTTTTACAGTAAATTAATCGAAGAATAAAATGTGAACATAAATCTCTTTTTCTTGCATCACAGTTTTCATTATAGTTCTTATAAATGCCACCATTTATCTGTAAATATAAAACAAGTATAAAACAATTTAAGAATACATTACATTTAATAAGACACATTATCATCACATTCGTATTTTACAAATAAACAGTAGAAGAATATAAATATTAACTAAATTAAAGATAATGATAACCTTCAAATCACAAATACAAAGTATGTAAAATGTTAAATCTTCATATTTCAATCATTCAAATACATAATACTAAAAAAAACAAAAAAATACCAAGAAAAAGAAAATACCATTGTATTCATAAATAATATTTAAAACATAGTTTTACTCGATATATTTTAAGTATAAAACACATACCAAT